ATCATAATTTCTTCTATGAGTTGAGCCTATTCATATGAAAATGTATATTTCTGTCGTATATGTGTGTAAGGGTGCGTCAATGTTTAATATTACAATAGTTTTGAAGGTTAGTCATTATTAAAACTAATTTTAGACATTAAAATATCTTTTCTTTATCTAAATTGTTAGTAAGGACAAATTTACAATAATGACAAATTGGCTTGATGATAATTTGTTTTCTTTCCCTTCATCTCCCCATTTCACTTGCATTTATTTGACCTATGGAGTAGTGTATATTCACAAAATAACTATGAAACGTATATATATATATATTCAGCCAATGAAGCATATTTAACTTTATACAAACTGTACTGGCCTAGAGATATCAAATTGAAGTATGTAAATTAAAAAGTTACTTAATAGATATTCATTCCTTGAATACAGAACAAATTTATGAAGAAGTAGATAGGTGTTTGCTTTGATGTGCAAGGTTGACTGAATCAATTTGTGATAGAATTTTTATTGAAACTGTTGTTTGTCAGTGAACACTCATTTCCACAAGGAACTGTATTTTGAGATAAGTTCATTTCGTTACACTCAATATATTTAAATCTTAAAGTGATTTTGCAAATGACCGAACAGAAAAGCACAGACCGGTTATATTATTGTAGATGAGCTTCGTAAAATATGATAATGTGAACGTAATTTTTATTGCAAATATTTAAAGTCAACACTTGACACTGGTAAACGGATCAAATTTACGTATGTAGTTATTATGACTAAAGCATAATTGTTCATAAAGCTGTTCCTTTAAATGTATGGGTCGTGCAAAGACTATAGGTTTATGAGTAACGCTTTACCGACAATGTAAATCAACCACATTAATTTACTGTGATATGAATGTAACAAGTTGAAAAACTTGTCTAAATGTTTCCAGGATTAGAATAGTTTATGGGCTGTTTTCGTCAGAAATTACTCGCAATGACTCTTAACTTCAAATCACAACTACTTTTCATTTTCGTATATTCGTTCTAATATGAGTACACGTTTTTGATTCTTATCAATCATCAAGCACCTTTCTATGGGATTATCAAAACAGTTTGTCAGTAGAGGAACTAAATGAAATTAGTATACTTTACTTTTGAATATAATAATCTAAACGATTTACAAGCATTGATATCAGTTGTGAACGGTAGTTATTGTTATACGTAGTAGAACAAAAATTTCGCTTCACTCTATGTTGTTATATATCCATTTTGATTAACTATTGTTTAACGGAAGATGAAACTAATCATGTAATTTTATGCTTAATTTATCAATGTAATTGTTTTCTAAAATAAACAATGAACTTGGTACAAATTACGAATCTCATATTGAAAGATACAAAAATTTATTTCTATGTATCAAGCATATTTTTTTCAACGAAGAACGAGTATGTTAATGATGCTATATGAAGAAATGATAGTCGTTACAGATGATTTATATGCCATGAAAACTCATTTGAATATGCATATAAATTTCTCATGAAATAAAGCATCATTTATAAATGAACTTTGATCTAGAGAAAGAATGTCTAACCGGGTCGAAATAAGACTGGGAAATTAAATCGATGAGTACAAAGTAACATTGTGCCAAAAGTTAAACATTAATAATTTATTTATCTAACAAACGTGGTGATATTACTTATGATCCTATTGATATACCAATACAAATGAAATAATGCATTGACTTAAAAGAAGTTTGTTAATTTCAGTTTGGATTAAAAGAGAAAACCATGACCTTTGTTCCTTTGATATCATCATTATCATCATCATCATCATCATCATCATCATCATCATCATCATCAACATCATCATCATCATTAACATCATCTACATATTATTTAAAGATTTTGTAAATTAAATAAGAAACTTCATTTTTTAGTTTTTTAAAGAATAATTTATTTGTTTATTGATAACAAATCATTTTTGTGGATTCATTAAGTGCATCCATCAACAAGTATGTTGACATAAACACATATGCATATATGTGAAACAACAAATTTAATTATCAAAATGAGAAGGAAAAAGTAAATTTACATTGAATTTCTAATTAACCTAAATGATGTGTTTGTTACACATGTTCTAACTTTCAGTTAACCTTTTAAAACCATTTCTATTATACATAACAATGAGTCATTGGTTGATAATTGATTTTTGCTCTTCAACTCTACTTCATCGCATTCTCGAATTGTGACGCTTAGAAACTGATTAACCAAGTTTATTGTTGCTTTGTTCCATTTTGATGATATTTTTTTTTGAAGCGGGCACAGTCTTAACTTCGAACTAATAAGTGTTACATCAAACAATAAATCTGAGAACACTAACGTTTAATTGATACATGCTCAATGGATTTCTAATTCGATCTTTTTAAACGTTTGTTAAATCATCTAAAATTATTTATTTGCCTTCTTTTCTCAGAGAGAATAAGTATGATTCAGGTAATATTGAGAAAAGATCACTATCTGTTCACAAAAGTGGCATTATCGTGGATTTGTATTCATAGACTCGAAATAAATTTTCCTCTAGATGATGCATATGTATCAGTGTGTGTGTGAGAGAGAGGGGGCGGGAAACTTAAGAGAGGTCAATATCATTAATCAAGAAACCATGTTGTTAACTTATGGTTTTCTTAAAATAATCTACAGATTATGCAGAAATGTATTTTTTTTGTTTTAAATGAATGTTTTAAATTTTCTAATACGCATGTTAAAAATCACACTTTTTGTATAAAATACATCTGGAGAAAGTTATGTAATCAAGATAACCATCTGATTTTATTGAACAAAATACGGAACGAACAGTTTTTTTTTTCTTCTTTCAAATGTTAGTCTGATTATATCATGAAATTTATGATTATGTTTGTCTTATGGAAAGAGATCATATGACTCATTTTAATTTTAACGTTCTTTTCAATAATGTTATGTTTACTTAATTCAACTGCATGTATAATATGTATAATTTGATTAATTAACTCAGTAACAGTCATTTTCTTAGTTTATCTGATAACAAAAACAAGTGTATGATGAATAGGGTAAAAGTAAATATTATCAGCTAGCGAAATCAATTTAAGGCTAACCAATAATATAAATGAAATCTGAAAATGATAAATTTATTTTCAAAGAAATGATTTATAGTCATGTAATTCCTTAAAATGTAGTAAATTCTATACAGTTGTTTAATTTTATTTTTTTAATTGGATAGAAGTTTTGTTGAAAAGCAGTTTAATACTCAACGAATTCTGAATATAATCATATCTCTGTCAATTGCTTAACTATATAATGTATGCCTTAAAATTGTATTTCAATTGATGTACATAACTAAGTAAAGCCAAGTTTACTTAAGCTATATGTTGATGGGATGAGCGGAGGCGAAAATGTGTTTAGTTGTATGATAATCAGTTCGTAGAAATTAGTAACAATCTACATATAACTTTCTGAGTTAAGATGCAGGACCTAATTGAAATAACTCCTTATTACAATAGTTAGCCAAAATTTGTGTTTTTAGGTTTTGATGTATTCAAAGAGACCTGAAACGTAAACATCTCATGAAATTGTATTCAAAATAGTTATGTTATTAATTAAGCATCATATCCAATAACTACCACCAGCATTCATGATATTAAAATTTCAGCAGCTGCTTCATAAAACTAAACTTTTGTTAGAACTTATCAATGTAGTGTTCTTAGGTGTGTATAGTGATAAATTTACTCAGAGAACTATTAGATAATCTTTAAGATAGACAGATTGTGGCTAGTAGTATAACCCAAGGAGTGTATTTCGTTCTGTTTGATACTCATCTGGTGAATGTGCTTTAGTGTTGTTGTTTACAGTGATATTGAAATCCAGTCAGATGTTTTATGATTATTTTATGTGATTTGACTCAGTAATATCACAGATCAACCATGAATCTCATTAGCATTACAAGGATAGGTAAAACGTTAATAAATAAAATTCAACGCTCAAATAGTAAAAGTATTTAAAAGTTTCATAATTCGTAAAATAGTTTTCAGGATTACAGCATGTTTAAAGTATGTGTTTAGCAACAATTCATTTCATTCTGCTAACTTTATTTTGTACGATTATTATTCCCATAATATCAAACCATCCACCGTTTATAATTTATTCGAAATGGATTTGCCAAACCAAATGTTACTTTTGCCATATGAGATTTTGACACTATCAATTGTAGTTGTTATCGTTTGTCACTGGCATATTTTTTTCATTTATTATACTGCAGATTATGTACAATGAATGATAAATTGATGTTTACTTGATAGTCAATTTCATACAGAATTTATGGATGTAAGCCTAATTTTATTTAATGCTGTTCACGCTGTTTCCATGTAGTAGCGTTAATCGAGCAGATTTTTGCATAAAACAAAAAACACTAGTTATTGCAAAATTTTGAATTGGATGTACAATGTTTCATTGAAATTATTAAAAAAACAATTGATTAGGACCATTGTATAATTTTTCTCCTCATATCGATTACTACCATAAGGTAAAATCCACGGCACGTTCGCGCTTCATAAAGAAGATTGTCGTCTCAACTTAGTTGTAGTTTACACTTTTCAAAGCGCGTTTTGTTACATGATATTAACATTCTCAGAGCAGATGAAAAATTTTTTTCTGCATAAATCAAACTTATCGAAAATACTTAACAGATCCTGATCATAATAGTGTACTTTCGGCGCACTTTTATCAGTTTATCGATTCATAGATCAATGTTATTTTTCTATTGACACTGTTTACTTGTATGAATGTTAATAAACATGTTTACTGAGATTGTTGCAGGAACTCTAACAAACACTATATAAATCTTTTAAAGCTATGCATCTGTCATCGAAAGCAATATTCATTTGTCATGGATAATTTAAGTTCCCGAATTTTTCGCCTAATAGTTATTATTAACTTGCTACTCCATTTTTACATGAAAACTGATCATCTTAAGGAAATATATATGTTTTTTCTGTTCATTTAGATTTAGATGAAAAATTCCAACTGGAACCGGTTTCTACAGATTTAGCTGTCAGTAAACGTCTTGTGCTAACGTGCCTACCACCTGAAGGAGATCCTGATCCTGAAGTAGGTTAATTCGTTTATTATTATTGATTGTTTTATACCTGTTAAAATAAGATGAATACTAATAGTACTGAATATCTTACGTGCTTATACATGTTTTGTTTTCCAGAAGCTGTCTGCATATTTTCTGTTAGTATGTTTACAAATTGCTAAGTACTCATCAATTATATGTATCATATTGTATTATTAGACCATGTGAATGCCATGATTATGATCTTTGTATGAGTCAGGTTAATAAACATTGTGAACAATATTTATGATGTACAAAAACGTTCAGACAATATAAACCAATAGGTTAAGTATTTTGTAAAGTACAGCATTTAAGCAAAGAATGATAACCCATCATTAAGTTTGCTGATTTAATTAGTTTATATGATTTTACGGAACAAAATATACCCTATCAAGTGAGAACTATATCTTTTAACCAGATGTGAAGTAATTAGGTCGACGTCATCAATCAAGTACATTTGTAAAATAAATGGTATTTCAACCCATTCCTTTTTTCGGTAAACTGTTAACACATGAAATCTTAAGGCTTTTATGCTTTCTTAAGCTGATAGAATATAAATGTCGTTATTACAACCATCTACGCTACGCTAATGGAATAGTTTTATGCTTAAACAACAAGAAAATCACAATATAATGATACATGTTAATTAATCAAAGTAATTCTATTGTAAATATAATCCATTTGTACAGATAGCCAAAATGTTAACACAGTTACATCATTTTAACCTAATGACTAAACATTTCAGAGGATAAAGAATACCATAACACCCATATCTTTTAAAGTATAATTGACTTTTATAACTTAGTTAATAAAGATGTATAGTTTTGAAACAATATTTGGTAATCCAAAAATATCTAGTCTCATATAAAACGAAATACAGCTTGAGAATATCGTTCATAGTCACCATTAAACATAAGATCATAATTTCATTGTTATATTTTACATGATACTTTCACTACCTGATCCCTGTTAAATGTTCATAAATTTCATTTTAAACGACTGATTGTTTTCTAAGTAGAAATTGGGTAGGTATCTCACATAACTTTGTCAATAAAATTCGGCTTCACAATAAATTCACTCCGTGAAAGTCGAATAACATGGTACATAAAATGTCTGTTTGTTTAATGTATCTCTTGTTTTATCTAAGTAATAGAGCAACTGATCAACACTGAATGATGTGTAGAAATGTGATATGTGAAAAAGTAATTGTGAGCTTAAATGGAAACTGACCTGTGGGCGAGAATAATAATGAATGGTTGTTTGCTTAGTCAGACTTGCAGATAGTCTGACAAGCGTTAGATGAGTTATATATTTCCCTATCCTTATTATTATTGATTGTTGTTGGTTTTTGGTGTGGAAATATATTTACTTGCTAGTCAGGCTAATCATGTGTTTTTGATCTGAATTGTATTAAAGTCCTGTAGAATAGAAACTGAAAGGGAATCTAGTATAGATATTCGTCTAAGATAAATTAACGTCCCATTCGTGCAGACGAAGAACGCCGAGTGTTATAGCAGAAACATTCCTAAATTTCAGCCATTTTTACGGTTTCTGGGTAACGTACTTTATAATTCTGATGAAGTTTGACAAAATAATACCTCTGACGAATTTTATTATTAATCCGAATTTAGATGGTTTTTAAATTTTGAAGCGAAAGGTAATTGAAATAATCACATACTCATTGTACTAGTTTTAGGAAACAACTTCTTGATATGGCCTTGAATTCGGTGCTTCTGAGATTTACATTTGAATATCAAAAACTGCAAAACATCAACTGTAAAAATGGGAAAATCCGATGTTCAAGTGAATGAACTTTAAAGGATTCAAGGAAAAAATGTGCTTATATCACAAATTAGGACTAAAAAGTAACATCATTTATGAGAGGTCCTGTTGGAATTATGTTTCACAATAACGAATCATATGTTTTTTTAATATATGATCAGAAGTTACGTAACTAACATTGGGCACATACAGTAGACCCTATTAACTATCAGTTTAGAAATTTTAACTGAAAAATTGAGGAAAGTTTCTTTACCTCGGTATTTTAAGAAACTATGTAAGCACACATTTGGTTATAGTTGATTATAAGAGTTTAACTTACTTACGTCTGTTACTCCTAGTGAAGGAACATAAGCCGCTCAACAGCATTCTCCATCCAACCCTGTCTTGGGCAATCCTTACCAACTCTTTCCAGTTGTTATCTATCCTTTTCCCAACGTAATGTGTTCTTTAACCTTACTCTCTTCCTCTTTCCTTCGGGATTCCAAATTAATGCTTGCCTCGTGATTCAGTTTGATGATTTGCGTAATGTATATCCTGTCCATTTCTATCGTTTAAACTGAACAAAATTTATGTTTTTTTTTTGACAAAATCGCAATCTCAGTCTTATTTTTCAAATAGTTTTCAGTTACTAGAACTGTGACTCAACAAATAAAATTAATGAAATTCTGCATCAGGAAATTTGTTGAAATAGTTATAAGTGACAAATTTCTGAATTCCGTTTAAATAAAATGACTAATATTCTCCATATTTATTTTAGCTAGCTGTTTAACCTGTGCGATTAAATAAGTCACCATTCATTCTTGTCATATTTTTTTTTTAAAAAAAAGTGGTCTAAAGACATCAGTGAGACGGTAATAATTTTATATGAAACTAATTAGATTTATTAAGATTTTCCCACTTGTTCCTACTATTTATTCCTATCTATAATAATGATTGATTTGGAATTAAAATTCCTGATGAATTTACACTAGTTTACTATGATTGTATCTAGTCAAACGTTAGTTAGTAAGCAAAAAAAATTTTTTCACAAAAAGAATATCGACTTATCACTTTCAGTAATTCAGCTTCATTTATTATTTATTTTAGTGAGAAAAAAAGAAACGACGAAAATCTTAGACAAACATTCATTCAGCTACTGACAATTTTAAACTGAAAATGTCACATGGGCACATCATTATTTATAGATAAACCATATTATTTTATCAATAATACTATTTATGCATGTAATGTGCATATTTATGGTGCGGCAAAATATTTATCAGATGTAAATTAGCCAAATGACTTACTCTGATTGTGTAGAAAGAGAAAAAATCAATGTAAATTTCAGTAGTACCTAGTCATCAGTGATATTAGTTAGCGTTTACAATAAGAAAATTATTAGATCTTTACTACTGGATAGCTTTATCGAAAAAGATTATCTTGGAAGCTAGACGTTTCCGTCTAGTATGTGGTTATGATTGAATGAATTTAAGAATCTCTGTTGTATTTTAAAATTTAGTCTGACATACAAAACTGTTAACAGAAAATTTAAGATCAATAGATTTTAGCATTATGGAAAATTTGATTTGAGCATTTTTTTCTATCCACTGATGTGTAAATTAAATTAAAGTATACGTGTTTAATGAAGAAATGATTACAGAATCTGTATTTAGACAGTGCTCTTAAGATGACACTGTCTTTATTGAAGTGTTCAATGATGTAATGAGTTACATATTACTAGTAAAAGCCCTAAGAGTTATCATTCATGTAGTAATCCTGTGTATTACTGATACTTAGCTTCATTTAAGTATGTTTATCTTCACTGTCTGGAAGAAACTGAAGTAAAGAATCACTAGAAAATTGCTAAAAAAATTTTGCTCAGATAATATTTTTATTATACCTGCTTCAGTAAGATTGATTACAACATAGTTGGCATTTTTACAAATACTTAATTTTGAATGGTTTTGGTAAAGTTTCATTTAGCTCATAAAGCCGACTCAATTTCAAGAATACTTTTTGACTGTCCATATTTCTTTGACGACGAAAGACTCATCACCCTAACAAAAGCTAATTAGTTACTCTCGTTCAAGTGGACTTCTGAAGGATTTGTAGTTCTGATTCAAGTTTAAAGTTAATAATCGTTATCCTATTTCTACTAGTCAAGGTTCAAGGAACAAACATTAGTTGTAAGGTTCACATCATTGATAGTAGATTACGTGTCTTGGTGTCAAACTACATTAAAATCAGAACCATCCAAATGTAACTTGTTTGTACGATATATTCCAGATTAGAAGAAATAGGTTTTAAAGATCAAGCAGACTGAATTCAGCAATCAGTACTCTAAAAATGAGTTTAATTAGGTTTTTAGTAATCATTTTTAAATCAAAGCCTCAGATACTCATGCGAACACAGCACATTTACATTTACCTATAAAAATAACCAACGATGGAACGTACAGTTTTTGTTCTGATTAATGTACTTTGCAATCAAATAGTTTAAGGCTACTGAATCTTCCCGTGAAATTAGATGTTCTCATAGTAAAAACAGCTACAGAAAGTTTGTTGAATGAAAATTTTTTTTCTGAGTGACAAATTCGTTTCAAAGAAACAGTTTATTATAGATTATATCAACTTAAGCTTCTGTGAAACTAATTTTAATTGGTCACAATTATTAGTTTTTCATTTAATTTAATGGAATGTTAGATATAATGAAGATATATTCTACATACTTAATTGAATTTAGGATTGGCGTTTTTTCTAATTATTCTCATTTCCTATTATCTCAATATTTAGATAATCAGTGACCTCGACCAGTTATCTATAATACATCTGTCTAGAAGTAAACAAGTGGATTAATAATAAAGAGAACATAAGGCACTAAATACTTAACCTCTGTCATCTATGCTATCCATTAATAGTAAATAAATAAATATATATATATATATATATATATATATATATATATAATGGAGTGGTGGTGACAATTGTAGCTGAGGTGCGGTGTAGTGAATTATGATGGATTAGACAGGTTTTTAGTTCAGATTAACTTGAAGATAAATATCCTAAAATTACAGAAGCAACAATGTTATCCTTTTTAATGTTATCTAGTAAAATATAAAATTATGAAAACATTAGATAGATAATGCTGCAAAAGTTTTATTTTCCGGGTAAATCATCAACTTCATAAATGAACAAAACAAATAAACAAATGGCAAAACATTAATAAGCGAATT